TTTTTTTATTCTCATTTTTAGGTTACTTGACTAGGTTATTTGTAGACATTGCTTGAAAATCCACCTTGTTTATTACATATATTACAATAGTAATCATCGATAAATATTTTCTCAATAAAATTGGATTTCTCTTTAGGTAAACAAGAAATGACAGTTAAAAAGGAATGGATTCTATTGAAAAAAAGTAACATATTTATATTAGTTTTTTATCTTAAATTTTGGTCTTAATTCCCATGTTATTGCTTTTGCAGCGTCTTCCGAAGACACAGAAACGGAACATTCTGATTTAACTTGGGGTAGGTATTGTTTTCAATGAGTTTATTTAAACAGATTTTATATATTATGTTTATTTACTAAGTTGTTATTTAAATGTTAAATCCAACTATTTTATTTAGCATGTATGGTTTTTTTTTATAACGTTATATTTTTAAATGTGTTACAGATATTTTGGAAAATTCACTTACAATTGCTAGCACTTCTACATTGCAATTAAAATGTTCGAAAAATGAAGGTATTATAATAAAGTTATTTTTATTTCAAATACGTAATACTTTAATAATTCATGTATAGAGTATGAGAATAATACATGTATTGCTATTATTTTTTCAGTTAAAACTAGTGGAGGTTTAGTCAAAAGCTATACAAAGGGTAATCTAAATCCTGCAATGTATGTACTAGTGTTTTAAGTATTTTAGGTAATTAAACAATATCATGATATAACAACACTTTCAATGTTTATCTTTAGTAATCAAAAGCTGTTTCTACTGTACGTGTATGGCCTAGATCCAAAAAAGAGTAACTGTGATCATGTATTTAGAATACTTTCTTTGTACACATATGTGGCCAAAGTATGCTTTATTTCCATTTTTTTTTTTTCAATTAGGAAAAAAAAAAATTAAATGAGTTTTGTTTTTAGGTAAGATATTTTCAACCAAAATTAGATTGTGCATTGGTAGAAGTTGAAAATGTACAAGATATTAACATTTTAGCTTTACTTCAAAATATCAAATTATCACATGGAAAAAATTTGTCATTTCAGTAAGTTGAAAACAATCTCTACTGGGTTTTGTAGTGGAACGCAATATCACAAAGAAATTTTTTTTAAAAAATTTGTATGTACGTTATATGAATAATCATATAATAATTGCACATTATTTAAGAGAAAATTATTTGAATAAAGTTGTACTCGAATGACTTTCAAACAATTTGCTGTATTTAAGTTATACAATATACAAATAAAAATAATAATGATAGCGAAATAAAAATTTTAAAAGTATTTAACAATAACTCCTTTTGCTTATTTTAATTATTTTATTACTACAAAAAATTGTGATCTTATGTATAATACAAATTTCATACAGATTCAAATGTATGTATTATTTACACATTTTAAATGGTTAGCTTCTGCTTTAAGAATTTGGTTTACTTTTATTTTCATTATCATGTAGTTTAACGGTGGCCTTGAGAACCAACGAGATCATAGGTGTGCACAGACTTTAGTAGCAGACAATATTATGACTACTATTTTTTTTACCACCTACTGTCTCGAACGAATTATAAAAATATGTAATCAAAACGTAAGAAAAAAATTAAAATATATTTTTAATAATTTACATTACATTAAAATGTTAACGTAGATAAACTGATAAACATAACAAATTTATGTGGAATATTACAATTATTTAGTTTTTAACATTCGTTCTTCTATTAAAATTTTGAATTCTTCAATTACCCCATCATCATTTATTGAGTTAGTAACTTATTGATCAGCAAACATATAATAGTGCGTCCGGTCGTTCTTGTGGACCATAATTTTGTCTTCACAATGCTCAACTTTGAAAAGGATCATTCACACGAATAATTAGTTACGGACACAGTAAAAAAAAAATGTAGAATGTTTGAAAATTAATTAAAAATAGTTGAACGATCACTTTCATTTAACCAATGTATTCACTGATGAGTTAGTTTAGTTGATGTTCCTTTTATAGTCAATAATCCTGTGCCAAGTTATTTAGCAATTTAACCTCAGATTTTAATTTATTAATATCAGTGTCAAACAGTATTTAAAAATGCCTGTCTTAAAATAGATCAATTAAAATCAAATCACTAATCGTCTCCAGTAAATTTTAAAGTTATCGATTTTTCCCCAGCTAAAAATATGAGCTGTTCAAATAAGTACAATAATACAATAAATGTATTATTTTGTCCCCGGGAAAGAACAATTTGGCTCTTTTTCAGGCTACTGCATTAAAATTTCCTCAGTTATAGCCTAATAAGGTATACCCATGCGCCCACCTATGAACGAATTGGTTTCTTGTCGTATTCGTTATTCGAGACGAGTCGTCAGTCCGTCTCTGGAGAGGGATAAGACTGCTCCTTTTTACCGGACGATGCCTCGCCAGGCAAATGGAACACAGCGAGCCCCAAACACTGACGCCTTAGCCACCCGACCACAAATCATATTTTTTTATTTTGACATAGCTAACAAAATACAAATGTGTAAATCTGGTTCTAATAATTTAAAAAATAAATACTATTTTGTTTATATACAAGGTGGAGGAAGAGTTTTGTAGTACCCATATTGAAAGGCAAAGGAAATGTAGAAATTATAGAGGAGTAAAGTTGATGAATTATAGAATGAATATGTGTGAAAGGAAATTCGATTATTTAGAAGTGAGACATGAATATATAATAATCTGTTTGGTTTTATGCCGAAGACATTGACGATGGACCCGGTGTTTTGTGTGAGACAGTTTATATAAAAGTATAGAGAGAAGAAGAAAAACCTTTATACTTATGGTTTTATGGATTTAGAGAAGGCGTAGGACGTAGTGCCGAGAGAGGGTTTAAAGTGGGCATTAATAAGAAAAGGAGTTCCAAAATCATCGTACCTATGTTATTTATATAGCGGATATGCTTAAATGTTCAAATACGAGTGTCAATGGAGGTATGTGTAGAGTGACAAATTATTTTATATCAGAGGAGGTGTGCTTCAGGGTTTTGCTTTGAGTGCTGACTTGTTTTCTGTTACAATGTATGAAGTTACGGAGGAACTACAGGGTGAGCTACTATGATACATGATATTTGCAGATGATATAGTGTTGGTAGGAGAAAATTAGGAAGAAGTTAACAGTAAGTTTAAGTTGTGGAGAATAGCACTTGAAGGAAAAGGACTAAGAATAATTAGTAGAAGTAAACATAATATATAGAGTATGAATTTGTAGGAAGATGATAAGATGTTGACTGGACAACATGAAAACTGACAATAAGCGGTGACGTTGGTATGCGAGGTTGAGAGTTAAAGTATTTAAGATATTTTGTACAAAATAATGGTGGCTTTGATGAGGACCGATTATGTTGTATGGTTCGGAGTGTTGTGCGATAGAACAGAGAATAAACTTTTCAAATTTAAAAGGTAACGTTTATATTTAATAATTTGCTGGAAATGTTGACTAGCCAATAATTACTTTTAAAGGAAATGAAGATTTAATTATTAGTGTCTTGCGTTAAATTGATCACCCTGGGCTATTATAATTAGTAATATTATTGTTTATTTAACATTAGGTACACTATATAACACAATTATTTTTATATATTATTACCATAATGATAATAAATTATAAAAATAATTAATTTAAATAAAGCTTATTTGAATATATTTATATTTAAATAAGAATTTGCACAACTGTGTTTATCTATGTTACTATAACTATGTTAATTCCGTTTGTCACTAATGTTTCAGATATTCTAAGAACTATTGGGCACTTGGAAGAAACGAAGTGCAATATTTTAAATTATTGGATGGATCTCCGTCATTTGTTGATTATACTAATACAATAAATCAAACAAAGTTTCCATCATTATTTCCATCAAAGGTGAGTAAAAGTTAAAAATATTTTATGATTAGCACGCTGGGCTGGACAAAACTTGATTAGTTGAATCATGTTTGGACCAATTTTACTACAGTGCTTTATTTATAAAGTAACGAGAATTTTTTTAGTTCCAAGCTGAAATTTTGTAAGAGGGCGTTGTAAATTTAATTAGGTATATTTTTAATTTGATCAATTTTTTTTTAACAACTGAAGTGATTGTTTTAAATATTTATTAAATTGTTTAGTGTTTACTTATAAAATCTGTATTATATTTACAAATTAATATATTTTTATGTCTCTAAAATTTTTAAGCTAATTTTTCAAATGGCCCTCTGATGGTCGGATAGTCTTTACTTAGTTCTTCCCCGAAAAAAATCGTTTAACTCCCACGTTACTTTCTGGTATACAAATTATATATTCAACATTATTTTTTTAAATTTTGTACCTATCTGAATATTATTATTTTCAAAATAAAAAGTATTTTTATCTTTTTTCTGGACTTTCTTAATCTTTGTTCCATCCTTCTTTAGCATTTGAAGTATAGTTCTTTATAAATAAAAGTTTATCAACAATTTCCGTTTAATTTATTTCTTCAAAATTAATCACCTTTAAGTTAGACAGGTAAGCTAGTACTTTTTGAACTCTATTCCAATCTGGTATTAGTAAACAATCGACGTAGTTTTAATTGCGTTATGAAGAATATGCGTCGTTGTACTGGTGTAGAATTTTAAATCAATGGAGAGAGGTGTAGAGTTAATTTAGGAGAGTATCTAGTATTAAATTATTGGATAGTTTCATATACTTATATCAATGATAATTTTTTCGATGTATGAGTAACAAATGTTTATTTCAAAAGACTTTATTCTTGTTATACTAATTTATTATTATATGTTAAGGAATTAATGTAACTTTTGTTTTCTTCAGGTTATTGCTTTTTATAACACGCCACCAGATTTGAATGTAGAAATATTAGTACGTTTGTTGAAGAAATATTTGGGCAAGAATAAGAAATTTATAGTTAAACTATGGACTTCGAAAAGTAATTAAAATTGTATCTTATTGAAATACATTTTTCTATTAAAAGTAAGAACTTTTTAGCTGTAGATACAAAAAAAGAAACAACTGCAGATTCGAAAACCGAGTTAACTGCTAAAGGTTCAATTACTTTTGATAGCGTAGCTGATGCTTTAGAAGCCATTATGCATATTAACTATGTCATTTTCTATAGAAAAGGTAACATTATATTTATAATTTCATTTTTACAAATAATTATAACTTATGATTTATGTTTTTTTTTAATTAAAAATATAGTCTCCTTAAAACAATTATAAATATATCTTAGAGAAAATAGTTTGTTGTTGAGCTGCAAAAATATGAAGCTTTTTTCCTTGTGGGTGCCATTTTTCCTATTCATATTTAATTAATTTAAGTACTTTGTATGGTAATTAATAAAGAGTAGACGTTTGAACGCATTAATTGTAGAACCAGTAAAAGAAAATATAAATTGTATTGAATAAACTGTTGAAAATTTAATGAAACTGACTAAAATTGTGTAATATACAGGTCCGTCAGAAATCAGGCCACGAAAGTAAAGTTCAATAAAAACACAAAAACCTCCTCAAATTCAACATTTTTTATAATTAATATACTATATAGATATGCAATTTATGTGTGATAAACGAATTCTGGCATATGACGACCTTTGTTGGTGACACAGGCATCAAGGCGCAAACGAAAACTTTGCATAGTTCGCTTCGTCAGTTTCCGTGGAATCTTAAGGGCATTGAAAGCGCAAAACGTCAAGTTTTTTCTATAGAATTGTGAAAAATTTGCCATTGAACCAAAAGCTATCGTGGTTTATTTCTCGTTTAACATTTCACGATTTTGCCCAAGCTAGTGTTTTTTTCATTAAATTCTTCTAACACAGCCATCGATTCCAAATTTCAGGGTAAATATGGTTGTATAAACTTCAATTACTGCACGTTTTCAAGTCAGATATTCAAGTAATCCGTTTTAAATCTTAGCAGTACTATAACTGTTTAGCATCCGAAATCTTGTCTGCTTAAACATTGTAAATTAAAAATATTTTTATTCAAACAGTGAATACCAGCTGATTTTTTTTTATTCAGGATCAATTATTTTCCTTTTAACTCTTGCCACGCGAAACATAGATGCAATTCCAAAGGTTTTATTTTAAATGAGATTTAAACAAGTTAGAATTTTTATCATACATCCATGGATATCGTTGGATTCTTAGTTAATTTTTTTGTACATTCTTTATTTGTTGACATTTTAAAAGGCTTACATCCGAGAAAGATAAGTTGAGCGATTTTTTTTTACTGCTTTTTTTTTTAAAAGTAACGACATAATTATATTTTTCAATTGTAGACCTGATTTATTATTCTGTGCATACAATTCTTTAAAAAAAAGAGTTAGATATTTCTATATTGGTTTTCTTAAAATTTTACAAATTGGGCATTGGCATGATGACTGGCTGGTAATCTAGCTTCCTTTGTCGCATGACACTGAAACAAATGAGTCACCGAGAGCAAAAGTGGTATAGTCACTAAAGGTCACGTAATAGTTCTTTTGCCGTTCAGCAAAACTCAAACAACTTGTGCAGACAATAGGTTTAAGGTAGAATTATCGTCAGGGTATTTTACTTCAGGTTGTGTGAAAACGTGACTTACACCATTTTGTTCTGGACGGCTTAAATCTTGCAGTGGTTTAGTTTTCAGTGGACCATTCTTGAATCGGTACAAGTTTTGTAAACATCCAGCACAAATGACGTTGAATATAATAGTGGACATTCCTTATTCAAACACAACTTAAAATTTGTATTGTGCGTTGCTGCGTTCTTCCCCGTATTGTCAAACGTTCAATACAGCAGTTATAAAATTGCACGACGTTAACAAATATAAATATGATAAATATTTTATGGAATTATTAAGTCTTGCTAAAAATTATGTGGTGTTACAGAATGCTTTATTTATGAAATGAAAACATAGAAGCAATGGGGGAATTTAATAATCTACATGTATTATTTGAAGATCATGTAGTCTAAATTTACTTATTGTTAATATTTATTATTTAAATTAACATTATGTTAAAACTAGGTTTGTCTAAAATAAAATTAAAAATATATTTCAATGTATATTATTAAATTTTCAAAACGTATTTCAGTTACTCAATTTATATAAATTACAAAAAGGGCCTGATATTTTTTTAGTTGTCCATCTTAAGATGTTTGGTGGGTGCAAACTATCATGATCAACAAAAAATCCCATATGCCAAGACTTTGTATTAAAAGTTGGTTCAGCTGTACCGTACTTGATTTAACGTGACTTTGGCATTTTTATTTTCATAATATTATTCGTCAATTCTTTTGTTATTCTTCAAGTATTTAACAATTTTATTCTATTGTCATTATTATCTAATCCACATGTGCTTGTGAATTTATGTATTTTAACCTTTCTTTTTATTTTCTAACATTTAACTTTTGTTTATTTTAGCTGATAAGAAAATGTACACTTTGAAACTATCATTTACTTCTGAAGAATTGTGATATAAATATTAACATTTAAAGAACTATTTTTGACTATCTCACTAGATAATTATAGATATTTTTTTTTATAATTAGTTGTTATAATATTGTTATGTTTACAAATTGTGATACATATTAACTTATTTAGTTTTCTTAAAAGAATTAAGAAACGTATTTTTAACTTATAGAAAACGTTGTTGCTTTTGGATAATTTATTTAAATTATTATTAATTAATTAATTTTTTTTAAAGAGTTGTACTTAAAGAAATAAAGTTACTAATTTTGATAGAAATAATATAACATACTTAAAGTTGTACATTAAGAAATATATCTACATCCAAACTATGAAATAATTTGATTATTGGATATGTAAAATATTTGTTTTGTGTTTAAAATCATAAAATACGAATTTATTTAGTAATCAGTCAAGAGTATGCAAAACCTTTTAATAGATATCTCGAGTAAGCAAGTACTTGGTTAGAAGAGACTGAGAGAGTATGCGCGGTACAATAACGTCGTTGCGAATTTATACGATCAAGAGAGCGAGGCGTCGGAACTGGTTGGACGCCGTAGGCGATGGTTGAATCCTGGCGGTCTTAAAATAATTGCCTCATCTCTGATAGTAGAGGGCTCATATTCTTCTGTTTGTTCTCTAAAATATGTAGATCAAATCTCGTGAACATTTAATATTATGATACTGCTCCTATACTATTATTAAAAAAACACAATTTTTAAAATCTCCATAATAGGTTATTGTTAAGTAACAGGCAACAGCCGACAGCTAGTGGCTATAAACGTTAGTGACATTTAACTAATAAGTAATATATGTGGGTAAAATTTATTGTTTTCTCCATCACTGTACGAGTATACGATTTAATTTTAATTTAAATGTTAGAAACTCAATTTTTCTTTAGAAAATAACAAGAAATTAATATACAGGGTGGGGCAGTAAATCGGTGATTTTCTAATGTATTTAAATTGGAAAGCCCGTTTCACTACCCCACCCTTTACATTTTAAGGATCTATGAAAAGGTTTTTTTAGTTGCATTTTATTTTGTACATTGTAAATCTAGTAAAACAGAAGCATAATAGAGCTTTGAAATAATATAATTTATGAAGTATAAATAGTTTGTGTGAGATTGCTCTAATGAAAGTATATAATACATAAATATTAATTTTATTGAGAATAAGCGATTATAATTTAAACTATGGAGTACAAACGATTGAAACATGAATCGTCGACCATTCCAACAAAATTTAACAAGACATTGTTTATGTGTTATTTGGTCCAATACGTTTTTGCAAAAAAAAACCAGTACAGCGGGGACGGAGTATATTGCGAACGGAGTTTTAAATTGAGGTTCTGTGTTTAAAAATAAGCATAAAAGCGTTTATTTGAAAGTAATTTTCTCCGAGAGGACTAGTACAGTAGAGTATAGGCATAATGGAATCAAAGCATTGAAGAGACGGAGAGGTCACAGGTCTACGGGAATTATTATAAATAAAAGTGATAAAATTGAATAAAATCACTTTAAAAAAAAAATTATTATCGTAAAAATAATAGTTACGTGTTTATGTCTGTATTTTTCAAAAAAAAAAAATATATATATATATAGAATTGTTGTAAACAAGAATCTATTGTGTTACTACTATTTATATCTAAACAGTCATAATTTACAACAACAAAAATATTCGTAGACTATTTTGCATTTAAACTACAGTTTTTAATAATTAAATTTTTATGGAGACAACATATACAGAAAATCTATATTATTATTGTATTGCTAATAGTTGTTTGCTGAATTTTAGTGGTTCGTGAAAAATTAGACCTAGGGTTAACTACACGCTAAAAAAAACATTTCTGTGATAATATACCTAACGTTGTTTTTATTTTGATGTTTGCTGACTTATTCCTCGAAAAATAGTTTACTCAAAGATCTTGGAATGTTCACGATTTCCTAATGAATAAAATACAATGATATTGCTTGGATTTATAATCAATTAATAATAAAATTGATTGCCCAGAAATGTCAGATTATATTCATATTCCCCCTACAAATTTAAAAGCACCATCTATGATTTATTTACTTACTCAAAGGCAAAATTATAGCCATAAATCTCCGTTACATCGTTACTCTACTGTAACTCTTTACCAAATATGTATTTTCATCATGACACTTAAAATTATTTTGACAACATTTTACAAATGATCATACAAAATATTGAGCATAATGTCTTGGAAAAGTGACACAACTAGGTATCCTAACAAAATATCAGTAAAAAACAAACAAAGATATTTTCTACTTCCTTTGTTTAATTTGTATCGGCAAAATATAAAAAATAGACCGTGCATATGCGTGATACTTAATACTATTATTTGTATTATTTCAAAAAATATTTGCTACAATGCAAAGAAATCTGGGTTTATAAGCATGCTAATTGCTATCGATAAAAAAAACAAATAGTTAAAAACAATAATACTATTGTTATTTGTTGCCCATCCAAAGTGTATATTATATTTTACCTACAATAATTGTACTGGTAATAGTTGTTAATATAATTCTAAAATAGGTACTTAATTTAAAGAATTACTTTTATTTGTATATTATAATAGGTAGGTTGATGATAACTTAATAATTGATTAGTTCTGGGATTAATACTACTATTTACTAATAAAATATTATTATATCGTTCATATATTGTAGTAGTATCTTTAAACGTCATGGACCAAGGTTTGATATTTGACTGTTTGTAACTAAAATTGTGTGTTAATATACACCCTTCTTAAAAAATTATGTTTTATAGTTTTAGAAAAAGTTTTCCATTAAAATAAAGATACTAAAAAAGATAACTTTATATGAGTAACGAGTAATTTCGGAATATTTTATAAATGTATAAAAACACAATAGGTATATTAATTTGATCATTTTTGGAATTATCCATATTATCATCAGTTAGCTGATGCGTATGCAGGGAACAACTTTAGAGTGATCTACATCTAATCTAAATTTTCGATATGAACCCAAAACCTGATTATATAGGATATATTTTCATCATGAATGATATTTATTTGTTGCATTTATCTAAAAGTTACTTTTCTTGGTAAATTTGAATCATATTATAATTTAATAACTTATCAAATTAATAAAGTACTTTTTAACTCGTTAAACACCACTAATAAACTTAATGAATTATTTTTAAAAACAACAAAATCACTCTGAGGTTGTTGACATTACATGTGACATTTAATTTAAAAGATAGTATTAATAAACATAAATAACAATAATAATATAAATTAATTATAACAAATACGAATTTTTAATTAGTAAATTATTTTAAAATTAGAATCAATGTTATATTGTAGTCCGTAATTGCTTATGTTGCACATGTATAAGTATTTTTATAAGTGGTTTTTAATTATTTGGGGAAAAAGTAATAATTATTTTATCGTCGGTAAATTTTATTAAAAAATATTAAATTAAATTATTCAATTAAAAAATACTTAAATAGGTATCTTTGTTTAGTTTATTAAAGGATTGAACGACCTCGAATATGTAAGGAGTTTTAAATATGTACTTTAGATATTCAAGATATGCGCGAGCACTTAAAAGTGAATCATCTATAAGTTCGGAGTTTGCACTATTACTAATTGGTTCTGAGCGCAATACACTAATAAAATAGTTCATATCATTGAAAGATTCTTTTGAATATGTATCGTCTATTTTCAGGGGCTTCGTACAATTGCAATCTAATTGTTTGGAAATTTTCGAAAGCTGTTCAGTTATAGTAGAGATTATTGAATCTTTATTCTTCAATATCAATGGCAATTCGCTTTGGAAGTATTTGAGTAACTTTTCGAAGCACGGACTGTCATTGATTTGTAAAAATTTTACCAGTCCATTTAACATATATGAATATGATTTTATGTACTTATCGTAGTTAGTTTTTATCTGATCTGTTGTTTTGTTTAAATACACCACGTGCTTCAACGTTATCCGTAGAATGTCAGTCTGGAAAATGTCAATAATCATGCTTTGATATTGTAGCAAACTTACTACTCCATTTATGCCGGGCCCCTTCGCATTCTGGTGCATTACCTTTAACCTTGTCCACAAATCTCCCCAGTCCATCTCTACAGAAAACGTATTGAGAAAAACATCCATAACGCTTTCGTAGCTAACTAAGTCTAATAAATACAAATGATAATCGGTAAACACTTCTCCGACATAGAAGTTAAGACCTATCGCTACATTTTCCCACATCATATTGTTAAGCATATTTTTGTTTTCGTTCACAACTACTTGTCGTACAGTAATGTCGGCATATTTTTCGTTCGGCAACTGCGAGTGCGTCTGAAAAATGTAGCACCTCGTTGATTTAGGATCGAATAAGTTTCCCTGTTCACATTTGTAGTTTGTGTAAGTCTTTAGTTTGTCAACGACAAAGTCGTGCATGCCCAGTTGTATGCTTCTTTGCTGTATAGTCGTTGAACCAGAATCGACGCGGACTGAGCTAAAGTACTGCCTTATTTTCTGAGCGTACGCGTAAAGCAACCAAATTTCGTTCAGGTCTATTTCTTTAATTTTAATTAGAGAATATGTCATCCTGATGGCTTCGTTGACGTACGATATACTATTCATATTTATCAAACGGAGTTGCTCCGGGTTGTCTTCCTGTATCGCGTTCCTGGTCAAGTGTAAATGTATCAGAGCGTTGAACACATAACAGCATTTGATTCGATTATATTGCAGCAGCTCCATCCCGACAATCTCCTTGTCAGATTTTTGCCTCAAGTCGACTTCCGATTGTGGCTGCTTAAAGACATAGCCCGTATTGAATTTCTGTGCGTGAAGTAAACGGCGTTTACATAAATCACGGCTACTCTGTTGGTCGTTACGAATGGAAGTAACGATTGATATCAATATAAACGAGAACGCACAAAGTTTGTAAAAATACATTTTTAAACGATAAATGATATCGAAACGGGTACTTATACTATAAACTGAAGTGTTTTTCACACATCACCACAGAACACAAAACCGATTCACGCCTTATTCACATGAATAGCGGGTTGTGGCATGGTGTAGCGACAATTTGTTTAGTGAGTAAACCCGCGTTAGCTTATTTCTTAAGTAAATATTTTTCATAAGCAGCGCGTTTAGCGATTTTTTCAACAACATACGACATAGGTACGTACCTTTCATGGTGGATTTTCCAATCTACACATGTGCTACGCACACACTTGGTACCAGGTATATTTTGTCCAACAGTGAATGGTTATTTTTATTTTTGGATTCTAGTCAGTGTACCAAAACCGAATAATATTGGTTTAATAATTATGGCTCGAACATAAAAAACCTATATTACTTTAACACAATATTAAGTATAATAGTAAAAATAGTTTTGATTTGTGTAAGTACTTGTAACACTTGTCCCTTTTAGGGTTGTAAATGTTTACCTTATGTATATTTCCTTAAATATAAAGGGTAATTTAAAAGGTAATGTGTAAATAATATGTATAACAATTTGTTGGTATAATTTAATATAAAGGTTAGTTTATTATAGTATAACGGCGGCAACTAAGAAAGGTAAAAAACATAATAATGTAACATTAATTATGTTAATAATAACTAGTAGCTGGCAAGTGACCGGGTAGATCACAGATAGAAGCTGGTAGGCGGCCGGATAGGTCACACATTCCGAGTGGGTTGTGGAGATCAGTGTCTAGCCGTTAGTCTAGCTACCTATCAGATCAGAAACGACCTATAAAAAAAGCGAATGTCTGGTGTTTCTTGCTTAAAGATTAGAGTACAATTTTTTAAATTTTAAATTGAAAAGAATAGTCTAGAAGTTAGACAGTTAAATATTAAGTGTCCGGTGTTGCTTACTCTTGGGTTGAAAACAGATAAAAATGTCTAGATGTCAGTTGGCTAAATGTTTGTTATGGTGTACCTAAGTGAAACAAAATTTGTTGAAACGTAGTATACATACAGTATATACAGGATGTAATGTTAAGTTCTACCGACCTTCAAATAAGACACTCAGGATGCTCTATGGGTACAATAAATGGTATTGTGTGGCAAGTGTGGCTAGATACCGAAAAATCATATTACATATCAATTCAACAAGATTTTTTCTCCCGATTACAAATCTGAATTTTTTTTTTTCGTAATACAATTTTTTAACGAGATACGAGTTCTATTTTAAATAATTTTCAAATAAAAAAAATTAATACCATTTATTGTACCCATAGAGCATCCTAAATTTCTCATTTGAAGCTTGGTAGAACTTTACATTACACCTTGTATATGTCTAGATACTGGTGAAATTAATACATATTAAATATTATGTACCTATGCACGTCTCCACGACCAATAATAATGGTATTTTGTAGTTCTATTAAATATTAAACACATTGTACGGACTAAATTTTGTTAAAAACAATTACATTTAATCAAACAATATGGCATACACAAATGGTTTAATATTGTACTTAATGAAAAGTTTTACACAGTAACAAAATATATACCTTAACGTTTTCGACAATATATTGCGTGAAAAAATAAAATACCAGATATTTGGAGAAGAAGTTGTTAAGCTTAAGATTAAAGCTTCGGTGAAGCTGATAAGTAATTTTTTGTGGAGAATAGGATAGGTGCTCATAAGTTACACAATAAACGTTTGGGAAGCAATGTAAGAGAAAAGAAATGATAAAGAGTGTAGAAAAATCAATTTGGATTCCTATTAGGATATTTAACAACGAAACCATTATTATGTATATGGCAATTTATTATGAGAAGTTAGAGAAGAAAAAATTAAATACCGCTTTACTTAGTAATTTATAATTAAAATGCTCTATATTAATTATATTTAGAGATTACATAAAAATATATAGAGTGATTGGTGTAAATGCAGTGTATATAGGAATATCGTTGTAAATATAATTTAGTAGCTAATAAGGGTTCCTGATGTCAAGTAATTTAGAGCAGTGATAAAAAAGAGTAAGTTCTACCTAAATAAATTAAAATATTAAAAATAGATTTTTATTTTCTAAATATTTTTGCTATTACATTATAATGTACTATAGTTGTTAGCTTAAGTTAGAGGTTTCTATTTAGTCCATCATTTTTATCATCTCTATAAACTCTTGCAAATTAATTTCGGCATCACCTGTGAATATAAATTAAAGTTGTTTAAATGTATTTAAAAATAATGCAACGTGGTTACCGTCAGTGTCGAATTGCATAATTGTTTGTTTTACTTCATCCATTGTTTTATCTATATTTAAAGTTTTCAACGATTGCTTTAATTCTTCAGCGGTAACATACTGATTACGATCAATATCAAAATGATTGAAAGCATCTTGGTACGGTTGTAATTCTATCTATTTGCAACAAATAACATGACGGTTATAACTTTTAAACTTGTATATCAACATAGTACTTGCTTAGAAGTACAATATTGAGCGTGTCCTTAATTGTAGTCTTAATTATATAAAACATTTAATTTATGAAACTGTAATAAGAATGGACAGGGGCGTAGCCAGTAGGTAGGCCTGGTAGGCCCGGGCCTACCCAAAATGTTCTCTCTCTATATATATATATATATAATGTATTATTAATAAGAATAATCATTAATAACTTTGTTTATCAATGTTTTATAAAGGGCCTACCCAAAAAAAAATTCCTAGCTACGCCCCTGAGAATGGAGTGTTTAAAATAAAAATTATAGTTAAAATAATAAAAAAAACAATTTTAGTATTGTGCCTATTGGACATTTATAGGCAGATGTCCTCACTGTAGTGGGTGCTATCAAAGAAACGAGGTTTAAGAAGAGACGTAAAGGGAAAGTTATTTCATTATTAAAACACAGTTATTTTTTTACATAAAAAATCATAATTCAGTTTTGATGCTGAATCGATTTGTGAACATCATATTGCTCGATAGGGAGGTGAAGTAATTTAAAGTTTCTTTTAAATTGTTTAAATTAGTTTGTATCACTATGTGTCTGTTGTTCTATCATACATTCCATGTAATGTAATTTAAAAGTTTTTTAAGTTTATAAATTCAAAAATGCGTTTGGTGTTTATAAATATGTTATTGTATAAGTTATTTCAGAAATTAATAAACTTGAGAAATAAAATATAAACCTTAAGTGATTTTGTCAGTATTGGTCCCATTTTTTTGAACTCTTCAAATTCTATTTCATGATTGCCTGCAAAATAAGGGCTGATGATAAGGGTGATTTTTTTAAAAAATGTTTACAAACTTTTATGTTTTTAACCCCTTAACCAAATTACTTGTATATAAAATTCTGAAACTTAAATGGTAACATACAGGGTGTTCAAAGCGTTTATAACCACTTGCTTTTTAGAGCTGAAACTTGTAAACCCCCTTTATATATACCCTGTATATATTGTATTTATACAATTTTTAAATAGAAAATAATTTATTAAGCATTTCGACTGGTTGATAATCAATTTTAGATAGTTATTTTTAAGTTATTAAGTTTAATACAAGAGGAACGGTGGAGTCTAGTATTATTTTTTCTGCACTCATTACTCAACCACACTTCCTTCCTTACTAAAAATGTTGACTGCTCGATAACCAGTTTTGAGTCATTAATTTTAATAAATATGTATTATATATTTCGATTAATACCGTCTATATCGAACACCTCTAATAATGCTTTTGCATGATCAATGTCGATGACTTTGAAAAACTCTTTTTGTAACAATGTCTGGAATGTCGATGTGGAGATTTTCCCAGAATCGTTTACGTCGTATCTCTTGAATTTGTGAATCCAATCTTCTTCCGAATAGTCATCTAACGTTTCGTACTGGACCTTAAATTAAAACTATAATGGTTAGTAATAAACCTATTGTAAACATGTTAATGTAAATAAATACAAAAAATACCTAATTATAAATAATTGTAGAAACCGGTTTGAGAGAATTGAACAAAGATACATTTAAGGAGCTTTAAAGTAACATTTGGTAGATTTTTAAGTATATAGCATCATAATTGTATATTTTCTAACCTTTACAATATAGCAACGATTTATTCCATTATAATAAAAGTCAAAATATACTTGTAGTTAACCAAAACAGAAAGTTCTTTAAAATATATACATAGGCTTGCATATTGTTAATATCTAAGATGTTTATAATTACCTACATAATTGAATAAACAGTATTTTAATTTTTATAACAGTACTAGATAGTACACTCGACCTCGTCCGATTAGGCATTTAGAATATAAAACATTATAGCAGAACAGGACTAGCAGTAGCTAAAAAAAAAAGAACAGCTTAATAGCTCGTAGCCGTAAAATAGACGGACCCAGAAAAGTGTACTGGAACTCTCACAGTCCATGTCTTTTTTATAGGGGTACCAAATTTGAGCTTATTTAAATTGAACATATTGTACTATTTTCACTATTGTACTATTTACTCAAAAGTATTTTCAATTCTTTACTCAGTTTTGCCCATTAGACAATGTCAGTTAAGTCATTTAGTGTGTTAAACTGAAGAATATTTTATAGCAGGGCCAAGCTGGTAATCTGGGCTTTTATACTTTACCTGTACTAACTGTTACACGATTATTAACTTAGTATTTTTAATTACTTGCCAAAAAATGTTGTGTAGTACTAATGATGAAGCTAAAATAATTAGTTTTACAAATAAAGTTGAGATTGAGTCTCTATAACTTTTACTTTACAAATGGGTAATAATGATATGGTTCATTAACGAACCTTGGACTGCATTATATCCATATTTTCAAACTCTTCAATATCGATTTTACCATCGTCTGTAGCATAATAATTTTAATTAAAAAGTACTTTCTAAAAGATAATCTCTGTATATTACTATTTGTATCGTAGTTTTTTATTATTTCTTCAGCTTCTTGTGTTCTTAAAATTAGGTAAAACTCTTTTGCTAGCAATTTTCGGAATTCATTTACGGTTATAAAACCGTCGCCGTTCTCGTCGTAATTTTGAAATATATTTTTTGCTATTAGATATTTAACTGTCTCTGGATCTCTCTAATAATTTAGAAAACACGATTTATGTAAACATTTTTACCACATATTCATTTAGATTTAATTCATGCAAAGTTGTGTATATATTATAATGCAAATTGTTTGGTATACCCGTCTACTTAATTAACGTCATTTTAATAATTTGTTGTTGAGGGCTATTTTTTAAGGTGTAAATTATTAATTTGCCAAAATATTTGTTTTAATAAATTTTAACAAAGTCAACTTTTTTACAGGTTAATTTTTTAGTAGCTTTATGGTATAATTTTAATGTATACAACTTTTAATATTAGTAATTTTAATATTACATTTTGCGAGAAAGCAGATTGAATTTTGTAAAAAAAATTTAAATTTGTAAAAGTTTTTTTTTTAAAAGGATGGATTTTTACAACCTAAATTGATTTTTTTTATCCGTTATTGTTATTTTTGTTAATTTAAAAAGAATCAGATATGTAGGACTTAGGAAGTCTTTTTTCAAACCAGGGAAAAAATATCCAAGTACGATTATTTGACGAAGCGTTTTATTTTATCCATCATTCTACGTTTTAAGGCAAAAATACCCAATTAATATTGTAAAGAGTAATGAAATAACATATCATATACAGACTTTTTGGAATTTCACACATTTTGACTATATCATAAAATTATGAAATTACTTATGTAATTCGTTTTTGGGTTTTATCAAATAACAATAATTAAATATTCTTGTAATTTTTTCAGTCAGACGCCAGGTTTAAAGAGAGGGTTAACTTTTGATACTTAAATGGTAATGTCATTTAATTGTCTTTTTTTAAATTAAGAATAATTTACTGAACATTTTGACTGATCGATAACCATTTCAAAAATTACTTTTAAAGTTATTAGAGTTTAAAATTTAGGAATGAGGTCAAAAATTGTAGTGCAGTTATACACGGAGTTAAAAAAAATACAATACAATAGCAATGACTTAAAATTTTGAATTTAATTTACAAAAATAACGATATAAAAATAGTACATACCTTAAACGAAACCATCATTAACTTAACTATTTTCTGAAATTCATTAAGATTAATTTGACCATCGTCTAAAAATAAAAAGAATGATTATTAAATAATGATTTTAATAATGTTAAATGAAGTAGTACCATTTTCATCGAATACATCTGTAATTTTTTTTATCTCTTCCAAACTAAGGTTTATTTTTTGATTTTGTAAAGCAAATTTCTGAAAATCTTCTGCTGAGATATTGCCATCATTATTTTTGTCGTAATTTCTAAATATCTCTTCCCAAGTATTACTAGATGTTTTCTTCTAGTATATTATAATGTAAATTATATGGTAAAACAATATAAAATATACATAAAACTATAAAAATACTGTTATTTGAAAACAAAATTGATTATTAAGACTTGGAATTTTGTAAATGGCCAAACAAATAATAATCAATAACTTTATACGTTTTTCGACTACATTTTTTTTATAATAATAGGAGTTTTTGGCAACTGCATCTTGATACTAAAACGAATTTGATGGTAACAAAATCTTAAAAAAATTGTTTTCTGGATTTTCTCCTATTTCTTCACCTTTTGAATACATTTTGTTAAGTTTTAGTTATTACATTTTTACATTCGCCCAAATGCCATAGCTGAAACGGCATCACCCAGTAGTCTATCGACGAAATTATGTAGCAGATTAAACCCTACCCATTATATTTTTATAAACGAGATCACAGAGTAATACCATACCGATAAAGTACTATTTATTTTTAAAGAATATATTTTATTTGAATGTGTGTAAAATTAAAGAAATCCATAATAAGTATACATACAATAATATAAATGTTATACAAGTTTAGAAATAGACTGGAAATGTCATTAGGTTAATGGTGTTGACAATTTATTATGGAGAGGGCAGTGGCCAAACTTGTCATATTATCTTACCACCTAGCATTTTTATACATCTAATTATATAACTCCAAAATCGATTAAGAGTAATGTATTTCAGAATATTTAAAGAAAGCGCATAATACGAATTTTAACTCATAATACGTCTGACTAACTATTCTTTACCTGTAATATAATGTTTAGGAAAAAATATAATATGAGTAATCATAATAATAAAGTAAATATATAAACCTGTAACGAAGATGTTGTTATTTTTCCTAGTTCTTCCATTTTTTCAAATTCTATTGGACCATTTTCTGAAAATAATTGTGAATAATTTAAATGAATTTCAATAGATAATTTTTTAGTACCGTCTTGATCACTAATTAGAAGTATTTCTTTTGCTTTTTTCAACCTTATATCTCCATCAAAATCATTTAATAAAAATAAATCAATATCATTGGCCGAAATAGTGCTATCGCCGTCGTCGTCGTGATTATCCTCTATATTTAATGTTTCCTTCTAAAATAATATAAAAAAGCAAGTTATATCTACTTTAAACGACTTCTTTGACGAGGTTTAGTTTATTAAAGTTAGTATAGCTTTTATGTGTACAAATATAATATACAAAGTAATGTTAGAAATTATATTATTTTTTTGGCTCAATTGATATACCTAAAATAATATTACAATGAACTCTCAATAAAATTCTTTCTTTCTTTTTTCTAATCCTACTTTGTCTAGATATTTATTGAAAAATGATAAATTGTTTTTTGTTGTTGGGAAAAAACTCAACTAATCACAAACGAGTCTCTTCTACAGCCAACTAGTATGTAGGCATGAAATATTATCTCTATAATTTCTAACTCCATTTAACATTTTCTTCTGATAATCAAGAACGATAAATGTTTATATTTAATCTAGAGTTTGATTAATAAACTTGCTGATTAATATGCTATTTTCTAAATCGAAAAATTAATGTTTTATAATCGGTGTTGAGTAGTGTATGTTGTTCTGTAGATAATTAAAGTGCTTCTTTCAGCCTCATTATTTTTAAAAATACAGTTTTGGAATATTATACAGGTTGGGGCGGAGCCGACTGACGAGTTTTGAGGGGCTATAAATTACGAACAATAAAACTTAGAGAAAAACGGTTTGTTTTATTAAAATCATTATTAAATCCCGTTTTTTAAGTTACGTTTTGAAAATGATATCACCAAAATGACGGCCGTCATTAGCAATACATTGTTGTAAGCGATTTCCGAAGGTTTCGTACCCCATTTAGTTGAAACCATACATCCCCCAAGTCATATTCTTCATATTCTTTCCTCCAACCAGTGCCGCAGTTAAGTTTCCAACATTAGAACATATCGCGCCGAAGTGACAGTGACATTCCTGTTGTCCTCCTCAAAAAAGTACCGTTCGATCACCCCAAATTGGGACATTGTCACTTTAGTAGAGTAGAATCGTCTTTCATAGAGTTTCCGTGGGTTATTTTCAGCCCAGTATCGAAAATTCTGTTTATTCACAGATCCAAAGATTGATGAGTTAACTCCAAATATCGGCTACAGCAATATATTGCTGCTGACGGCCGCCATCTTGGAGGCATATTTTAAAAAACATAACTTAAAAAACGGGATTTCACACTGATTTTAACAAAATAAACACATTTTTTCTGAGTTCTACTAATCGTTATTTATAGCCCTTCAAAACTCGCCAGTCGGCTCAACACCACCCTGTACTTTCAAAGATTACAAAATATAGGTAGGACCAATTTTATACTTGATGATTATCGTAATAGAAGGGAAAAATCAAATCAATTCACGTTCTAATTGGCAAGTAAGAAAGGCTTTGTCTCCTTAGCCTCCTGCGTACGCCACTGTAATGTTTTATACATATATATAGTGTTAAAATATGTTATAACATAATATAATAAAAGAGTAATTTTTGTTTCTACATTCGATATCCAGTGAATTTATCGTATTTTGAGCAACTTATGGTTATATGTAATAAAGAAATTAGTATTTAAAACCCTGAATCATAATTGTTTATAGTGAAGGGTTTAAAATATTATTTTTCTTTACTAATTGATTTACCCAATGTTATTCACAGTGCGGACATATGAATTATTATTAAAGGAGCCAAATAAAACCTAAAAAGTTTGTTATGGCCAAAGTATATCCATAGACACATTGTAGAAATAACAAAAAAAAATCAAATAATACACTTATTAACAATAATATAACTTTAAAAAACCTTTAACAAAATAGCCAGCATCAGTTCTATTTTTTTGATATCTTTTAATCCAATTTTGTGGTGGCCTGAAAATATGTCAACTATAAAATAATTTAAACAGAATATTGTTTTTTTTAATAATATTTTACCGTCTCGATCAAACAAAGCTACAAATTTCTTTGCTTGGTCAATAGTAACGAATACGTTCAGCTCTTTAAATAATAGTTCCTGTACTCCTGTTGTAGAGATTAATCCATCCTTATTATCAACGTACTTATAAAATTTCTCTTTTACATTGTCACTCGATGTTATATCCTATTATAATGATAATATGTGAAATACATTTTATGTAAAAAATGATCAATAATTCGTAAAGAATTAATAATGTAATAACGTTTGTAATTTGTATAAATCTTATCGATATTACATTTTTGGGTTATCTAATCATAATAATAATTATTATTATCATAATGCATTTTAAACTTGGTAATAATAATATTCTTAACAAAAAGATAAAATACACATTTATAAGATAATTTTTATGCTGCTAACTATTCGTTATTGGTAGAAATTTAATGAAAATTAGTATAACAGCTTATATAATATTGTTTGTAGGTACTAATAATCCAAACACACTTTAACACCCATCAGGGGCGGGTTTTATCACTCACCAAGGGAGGGGCTAATTGAGGTTCAAGAATTTACCAAGCTGTATTTTAAATCCAAAATCCAACAATAAAAAAATAGCTTATAACCTAAATATTCAAATATCCATAAATATTAAATAACCATATTCTTCAATGCCGATATTATATAATAATTATTGATATATCATAATACTTGCCTTAAAAAAATAGCTTAGTCCCGAGGGAGGGGGGGCTACTGCCCCCTTAAACCCGCCACTGTATAGCATTCGCTAACTAAACACCCCTTTTAGGATCAGTTTGAATAATTATGTTCCAACCATTAAATACTGATAAAGTATATACACGAATGATCAGTATTCAAAAATAAATTGTTTTTTGAAAAAAAAATACTCAACTGCTATAGTATGTTATTGCCACTATGACTTAATTTTTTTCAAAAAAAGTTATACATGGTCATGAATTTTGTTATAAAACAATTTTACACCACAGAACTTTATGGAAAAAAAAAAAAATAATGTAAAAAAAATTAAACTCAACTGTTTTGTATTATGAATATTGTGATAGCATAACATATAAAGAACAATATTTGTTATCATATGATAAAACGATTTGCCGAACGAGGCACGTTATATAAATGTTCCCAAACGTGTTATGAACCATAAAATAAAACAAATAATGCCACAACCTAAAAATATAAAATAAGAACCGTGTTTTTAAATTTGAATGCTATAGCAGTTATGTGAAACGCAAAACTTTAAAATTATGAATGCTATAGCATGTACTGTCCATCAACGTGTTAACAAGAATATGTTATTAACTATTTATTAGAATAGTTGATATTATTTTGTGTACTCGTATATCATGTCTTTTAGTTTCGGAGTTTTATACTTACCACCGTAGAATTTACTTCGTTTGAATTTACAGCACTACTTTCCTTAATAAAAAATACGATACTCGAAAAAATTATAATATTAATTGAAAACATTGTAATTAAAAATATGCCTGCAACGTGTATTGGAAATTAAAATAAGACTGGCTTGAAAATAATAAACTGCGTATTATTATTTTGTTTTTTCACACCAAGTATTACATTTCTTGCTTTTTAAGTAAATACAACAGTCGTAAAACGTTTTGTGTATACAATGTGTCTAACTGTTTTATGACATACTTTATAGGAAAATTTAAATTGTTTATACTCGTATATGTATCATGAAAATGTTCTTAAATATAATTAGTATTATTCAAATTATAATATTTGTATATATTTTATAAAATCTAATTATCAGATTAGATTAAACAGACATAAACATAAATAATGAGACATTTTTTATTTCAGAATTTCATTAATAAATGTTTTTGAGGGAAAATGTAGCGCAATTTCACAAAATATGAAACGATTAATATTTGATTTGAAATCTTTTACATTAATTCGAACTATATTATGGGATTATTTGACTCGTGCAGTTAATTATATCTTTGTTAATTTTCATGTGACTTACTGTGCTGGGTTGGACTGAGCTTGGTTTAAACAGGGTTATTTAAATTTAGATTTAAGTCTATTTGCGGATAGGGACATTCCTAATAAATATTCCATACAAATTTGGACTTCGGCCGACCGTTTTTCTTTAAGTTATGGCAAGTCCAAGTTGACACATTTTTGTCGGGTCTTCTAGGTTTTGAGGGACGTAGAAGTTGAATTTTTCTTCTTTTTACCAAATTAACAATTGCATATGGCTTCTGATATTTACAGGTGCTACTCGAGTAAGTCCGGCTCAGTGGAAATCAAGTTATCGCGATTACAGAAACAAAAAAACACACATCATTGTATATTTAATTATATACTGTCGAAGCTAAAATAAAAAACGATATTCTAAGGATAACGATTGGATAACAATATTTAGTATTGATGAATATAGCTGTTTTCAGTTAAATTGCTATTGTGGAAAATACTATATGAGTATGCGAGAATTTTTGTGACGTTAAGAAGTAATTATTAAATTTCTCATCACGTCATTAGTATGCAACTCGTAGGGTTAAGCAATGGCTCCAATAAAACATATTATATGATACCTAGTAATACTTTTTACATGCCATGGTAATAATAAATTGTAATTAGATACTAGTAAAAAATAGGTCACGTTGATAAAATCTACAAAAGTCTTAATACTCCGTCTCCTAAAAAGGTTTTTTTTAATATTGTTTAAACACTTTTTCTAGATTACATGATATAGGTTTTGTACATATTATGATTCCCTGACGTCATTTGAACTATAGCAGAATTATGTTTGTCTTAAGTTCTTTATAAACATACTGTTATGTATTTTTTTAGTAAATTATTATTATTTGTTCAACTGAATGCGATGCGATCTAAGCATAATAAAAACAAATCGAAGCTTAAATATGTAAGTCTGATATAAAATTTAGATTGTATTTTTTTCTTCGAAATTCTTGATAACATTTAACATATGGTTTAGCATAATATCATTTATTTATTCTCTTCATTATTTCGGCTATTACTTAATTATTTCTATCTTAAAACGGCATGGATAACAAATGTGGATACACCCTTTGTGTTATGAATAGTGAAAAAAATGATATGATATAATATATTGGGCGTGGGATATCACCTTACATTTACATATATATACAGGGTGTCCCATAAGCTATCATAAATTGTGATAAAAAAACCTTTTTATTTAATTTTATTATTTTCATTCTAATGTTATTTTACTTTATAATTATGGATAAAAATTTAATAAATAAGTGTATAGATTTTCTTATAACATAAAGGCTAGAGAACAGTCATCACATTGCAAATCTCTATTAAAGAGAATTATTCTTTAAATATTGAGTATTACTTTTTTATTGTTATTATTAGTATTTCCCTATTGTTTTTAACTAAACAAAGGTTGTTCAAATAAAAAGTTTAAAGGTTATCAAAGTAAATTTTATCATTTGGATGATTTTCGGATATATTTACGTCAATAGTTATATGCCGACGTTTCGGACTCATTGCAGAGTCCAACTACAGGGCCATAATGGTCTCGACTGTTTAGTTGTCATGACCATACAAAGTAAATTTTGCAATTAAAATATATTTGTGTTTTTTTTGACTGAGTGTAATAGAAGATTGTTTTTTCTTTTGACTCCATAAAAAGACATCTAAATTTATTGTTATAAATTGACACTATTTTCACATACCTAATCGCCTTCATTAAAATTTGATATTTAAGAACTAACTATCAATTTATTTTTATTTTTATTACACTGAGAAAATTATTAACTTAGGTCAATATTTTTGAAAATTGATGATAAGAAGTTAAGTACACAAACAACTGTATTAAATTTATTTTTTCAATATTTTGAAAACATAAACTTACAATTAGAAGTATAAATTAGCTTAGAAGAGGTTCAAAATGTTCAAACTTTCATTAAATCCTACTGAAATGTTATAATTTTATAGTTAATACGTTCACGTACTAAATTTTAATAATAATCGACAGACTGCAAATATATTGTGATAGTGCACAGAAATCCTTCATTGGAACAACACAAATAAGACCTGCAAATTTCAGCTTGGTCTGTTGAAGGGTTCGGAAGTGATTTCTTTTAATATATAAACATATGTACAAACAAACAAACATTCAAATTTTTACACATACATCAATTTAATTTTAATTTTAAACTTTTCTGTCTCATAGCTAGTTTGATTAAAAATGGTCTTTAAATTAACGTAAACAAATTAATACGAGAATTACATGAAACTGAAAAGTCTGGTCGAGATTAATTTTTTATGTTTTTTTCAGTTATAACACTTATGGCCAGCCTTGAGTAATTTATTAAATTGTTATTATATTTAAATCCCATTTTTTTTCCAAATATAACTTTATTTTTTCGTTTTAGTATTTTGGTTTGTAGTTATTGACCATTTTTAACGACTCGGCCACTAGAGTTTAATTAGTCAGAGGCGTTTTGTTGATAATTGAACTTGCACTGTCCGTTAATGAGCGATCTGCCGAAAATGGCCACCGACTGCTTGCAATAACGGTAGTGTATTTTAAATTTTATTTTGCGCTTTGGTAAGCTTAAGAATGCGGTGAGCCTCTCGGATGCCAGAAGTCCTTGCTCCGTGCAAAGTGGCGTGACTGCCAATGCTGGTCGCTTCGCCAGCGAATAATAGTATAGGATTGTTCGGATCGTTGTGTGCGAAAACCGGCGATCCTAACTCTTTCTGGTGCTCGACATTCGACTGCATTCCCAAATAACTCTGTGCTCCTCGGAAAAACTTGTTTGTCCACCACCGAGACCGCAACAGGTTACTAGGAAACGGAATCCAATTTCCTGCAAACAAAACACTGACACAGTAAGCAGTGAAGTAAAATTGAATATTTCTCCTATTTCTAAAAGCCGACTCCTTCGTAGCATATGGCTACGAAATGCTGATTTGAAAATGTAATGCTAATCTCTTTTCAATTTATTTTTACATCCTTCTTAAATCAATATGACTCTTCTGTCCTCTTAGCTAATATCCTCAGATTTTATTTTATTCACGTTATGACAATAACATCAACTTATATATAAAAAGTTATAATAAATAAAGTAATAAGTAATTTAATAATTAGTAAAAATTAAATTATCCCTAATAAAAAAATTTCCTGAAAGTAATTTTAACAACGATTGACAATGTTATGATAGATTAAACAAGAAAACAAGTGCAGTTTAATTTCCGGCCTGAGTTAACGCGTTTATCAAGTTGGTTACCAGGATAACGAATCGACTAAGTGGTTTGAACCCCTTCGTAATCTTTCTGAACCACAAAATTAGGGCCATTAAAAAAAACCTCTAAAAAAATCATTTTTGTCTATTTTTTTTTTGAAACTCACGAAATCTTTTAAAACCTATAAATTACCCCTTTAAATTGAATTGTATCTAAACGTGGCTGTCTATTACACAATGTAAGCGAGTAGTTGATTTTGGCGTGTTATACGCAAGCATACCAGTGTACTGTCGGAGGAGATTGGTGAGTTCCATTGCCACGTGTTCGTTGGAACAGTTTTCCATTTCGACGGCTTGTTGGCCGGACACTTCAAACGCAAGAGTGTTGTTCACGTAGTCAATGCGACTTATTGTCGACGCCCATCCCTTGGGGCCGTTCACCTCGTCCATACAGCGGGCAAACCGGTATTTGGGCTGGTCGCCTGCCCAAAACGGATTGGTATACTCCATGAACACTCGATGTAAGTGCCCAACGCCAAGCGCTTTGATGGCTTCCGTTTTTGACGACGGTAACGATGGACAAAACATGGTGTCGGCGGTGGACTTGAGCACCCCTAATGGCACGGTGACTAGCACATAGTCGGCTTCGTACGCGCTGGTGTCATGGCACATTAACAAAGCCCTAGGCGAGGTGGGCACTTGCGTGCCCCATGACACTGTATCAACCTGCTTGTTGTAGTGCACGCTTTCGGCCGGTATTTCTCGGAGGAGGGGTGCTAGTAAGTTGGCCATGCCTCTAGGTACGGTGACACGGCGTCCGGAATCGGACGCCATGCCGTGGACGTCCAAGGCGCTCGCCAAAGACAGGTCGATACCTATTTCGGCCTTTAAGTCGTTGGTTAACCCGTAAATGACTCGGTAAACGTCGTACTGTAGTGGCCCAGACAATGTGGCTAACTCCTGTTGAATGCGCAAGTTTAGGTAGTCTAGAACGGATCGCTGTACTTTGTCGGCGCTGCAGTCCATTTTGTTCAGCTTTGACTTCATCTCGCTGAATATCGTGTAACCTATGTCGCCTACCTGTAAAAACAGATATTGAATATAAAAATAAATTTAGATTTATACATAAAAATAAATAAATAATTTATTAAAAAAATGTTCAGTTCTGCGTTTCATAATCAATCAAATTATTTAGTTTGTGTTAGAAAAACGCCTTTAAAAAAAATGAAATGGCAATTTTTGACTCTACCGATGTTTTTACCTTGGCTCTTACGAGGATGTTTCTTGAAATATGTTGTGATTAAAACACTTACGGACTGTCGGATGCCCGGGAGGCCTTCCGGCGACAGAAATATTCCGGCAGAGTTGTTATCGGACTGCAAGGCCAGCTGTTCTTCCATGGCCAAGTTAAAAATGCTATTGTTTAATCCAGTCTTGAACCATTGAGCGCCGAATTCCAGTACTTTGTTGTCGTAGCAAAACGTTTCTATACGACCTCCGACTCGGTGACTAGCCTCCAAAATAGTAAAGTCTTTGAAACCAGCAGACGCCAATCGTTGAGCGGCTGACAGGCCGGCAAGTCCCGCGCCGATAATGATCACCTAAAAATTAAAAAGATATCACGTCTAGCCAGGTCGTTTATGATAATAGCACTTGCCTTAGGTTCCTTGACGCAGCCGCCTACGGTAAAGTCATCTAACGAATTGTTGACGATCGTTGATAGAGGTCGTCTAAACCCTTTACATCGATGAAACGTCTGTCGTAACATTACAACGAAAAAAACACTATCACACTAAAATTTACACAATTTCAAAAAGACCTATTGAGTAATTGAGTGAAACTCGACCGTTTACATATTTATTTACGACTAAGACTTCCACAAACAAAAAGAGTCAACAATGTGATTACGATATTCTCCCGATAAAAATAACACATATGTTAGAATAACATAAAATGCTGCTAACTTTTTAGCCAATATTTTTGTGTTTGTTTACTAGTCAAATTAAACAAGAATTGTAAAGTCATAGAAATTGTACAATACATTTCATTCTTACAGTGATAATACAAATTAAAACGAAGTTCTGATATTCAAGAACAAATATTTTTTTTGAACGATAAGCATCAAAGAATCAGCTAGTTAATGATATTTAAGATTACGGTAACTCTAATTATCTCATTGACAAATGACAATCATATATAACGCAGCCTATAAGGATTTGTTATAATATTAAAAGTATAAAATAAACTAATAGTTATAAAATATGTTGTTGATGCTCCTATATTTTGCAGCATGTACCTTAAAATAATGGGCGTTTATTGAAAATAAACAAAATTTGACGCTCTATGACCAAAGGCACCAATATCTCTTCCTCTGTTTAACTTGGCACATGTACTTATTCACGGATATCAAATTTAAGCGGACCTTAACAACATCGTCGCAATGACGTTCACCCATGAAAATGTCCAATTTTTTTATAAAACATTTCTAAAAATCTCTATATACTTTTATGACGTTTATTTCAAATAATAACTTTATTATTTAGCTTGGATGAAAAAAATAAACCAACCCGAATAATCGGCTAATCTGAGTTTCTAAAATTAAAGTATACCAAACAAGATAGATCCTATTATTGGTACAAAAAAAGAATACCTATAGTAATTCATATCAAGTAATTTTTTCGTAATTTAATATACCAACAAAACATCAGGTGGACTACACAATTCTGAAAACCTAACAGTCTTATAACATTGAAACTCCTTTAATTATAACTATACCATTATCTACATATATTTAAATATTCTTCATCCATAATAAATATATAATATCCTACGTAGTTTACTCTTATTTGAACATAACAAATGTACAAAATGTTATTGTACCTAATTCTTTAAATTACACAAATGTTTTTTTGTGTAGTTGTTGTTCATAATAATACGTGAATGTAAGTCATATTGATTTAGCATAAGTTAGGCAAAAAAAAACTTAAGTATATGTAACTGTGAAATATTTGTGTTTTATAGTTATACCGTTACAATCATCAGTTAAATATTCACAAACGTAAATTTTCTGGTAACATGCATATTATCTTACACATATATTTATTGCTCGCAATTATAGCTAGTAACAAAGGATTTTATGGTGGTAATTATTGTTCATGATGTTCTTTAATATCCCTCCATGTTTTAAGAACAAAAGTTATCATTATTCTTGGATTGTTGAAATGATTTCAAATTTTTCGGTAATATCTGTGTTGAAGTTAACTTCAAAAACTAATATTATCAACGCGTGGTTTTATTAAAATCAGTATTCATTGACAATAACTAAAATATACAATATTATGCCAAATGTTTAGTTTTAAAAGTATTTTATTCAAAGCGCGTTCTAGAGTGAAATTTAGGGAAAATTAAAATTAATTTTATGTTGATGTAAAAAATGTATTATAACTTTTTAACAAACATTTCAATCAAATTTCGAGAAAGATATTTGGCTAACAGAAGAAAACCGTTTCTTTAAAGTTAAAAAGCATTTAAATTTATAGGTTTCCTTCTTGATATTCTAAGGAAAAAAACTTAAATTTAACAATTTTACTTTCAGATAATGTAAAAAACCAAAGTTGGTATGATGGTAATTATTATTTGATGTGTACTGTTATATCCATCCATATTTTTAAGAAAAAAAGTTATCATCTAATTTGTTTAATCGATATATTTAATAAATCTAGTGCAATAACAAATTCTAGACTATGTTTGAATTGTTGAAATCATTTCGAATTTTTGTGAAATTTAGGCCACGCGCACACGGTGCGACTGTTTTGGGACGAAGGTTGCAAATCAATTGTGCGTGCAACTGTTTTGTGACCTTGGCAGCATAAAGCTCTCGGGATCCGTACACGAGGCGATTGGAATAAGAGTAGTTTGCAATAAGTTTTAAATCGTTTTCCGCGGTCGCAGTTGCTGTTTCAAGCTACACCGACCACGGGGTTTTTTTTTAATTGTTTTTGTCAACGTGAGTGATCAACAACTTAGCTTAATAATTTGTCAGAGAGGTGGAGAATCACCAGAAGCTTTATAATTATATATATATACATATTGTCTATGTTTTTATAACATCTGCGATTAGTCCGCTTTGTTATTGATATAGGTGTATTGATATATACAGGCTACAAACATTTTTTTTTTATCATTGATAATTTTTTTCTATTACAAACAATACCAATGTTCTATTTTTTGTATATATTTACATTTAGCTTTACAATAGTAGTTTAATGACTACTGTATCGCTGGATAAAGTAAATGCCGAAGACAATTCTATTCCCCAGTCCCCACCCTCTCAATAGGACTTGCCACAAGACAATAGGAGCTCTACGGTCCCTACGACTATCAAGAAACATAATAACAAAATATTCAACTAACCACGCGTAAAACAAATTTAATCGTAATATTTTTATGTGCGTCATTTTGGATGGTTAACATTACAAGCCGTTTGAACGGAAAATTAACTCTTTAGAGTATTCTATCCTCTACAGTTTTTTGATTGAACATTTTTATTGTGTGACCAAAAGAAAACAGAAATATTTACGCAAAGGATACTTTAATAGTTAGAACATTGTAGGCCTTATAGCACAATAACAATAACTCGAACACGAAAAGATTATAAGACCTTTTTTGTAAATAATCATCTCTTCTATAATTTTTGTTTAAAATAAGGCTAAATAAATTACAAAGTTAAAATGTATAGTTGTTGGAGAAATTCACTGGATTTTATGTTCCTTCTGTACCATGCGTAGCCTACTGTATTGATAATAATCAATGATGTCTTTCTTGAGTTTCTCATCTGAATCTGAATTCGACATAGCAAAAACCAACTTCACTGTTTAATAGATACCATCAACTGATCCACAATCAGTCTTGTCGGTGTACAGACAGAAGTTTCGTACTGATTGTAAGCTAGTTGTATAGTGAAACTAGCTTGCAACCTTCGTCCCAAAACAGTCGCATTATGTGAACGATTTTATTTTATGTGTGTCCAAAAAGTTACTATATTTTTTTTGTACTAACTTTTCTATATTTTAAATTTTATTTATACGACAATATTTGTTTTTCAGAGGTACTTGGTCACCAAGGGAACACTGTTTCTCTTAAGTTAAAAAGTATTTACGTTTTTAGGATTTTTTCTTAATATTCTAAAAAAAAATAAAAACTTGTACTTAACAATTTGTTTGACAGATAATGTGAATAGTCAAAATTTGCATGATGGTAATTATTATTTATGTTGTATTATAGTATTCCTCCATGTTTTAAGACCAAAAATTGTCATTCGATTTGTTTAATAAATATATTATAAATCGAGTATAAAAATTAATTCTTAACTATCATTAGATTGTTTAAATCATATCAGATTTCAGTAAAACTTAAAATTAATGCTACTTTTATGTACACGAACACATCATAAAGTTACTATAACTTTTTCTACATTTAAAATGTTATTTAAATAAAAACATTTGTTGTTTTAAAGTAATTTGGCCAACAAGAGAAAACAGTTTTCTTAAAGTTAACAATTATTTACAATTTTAGGGGATTTTCTCAATATTATAAAAAAAAATAAAAACTTGTACTTAACAATTTGTTTGACAGATAATGTGATTAGCTATAATATGCATGATAGTAATTATTATTCATGATGACTGATGTATTATAATATTCCTTTATGTTTTAAGACCAAACGTTATCATCTAATCTGTTTAATAAATATATTATAAATCGAGTATACAAATTAATTATAGACTATGATTGGATTGTTTAAATAATTTCAGTAAAATTTAGAATACAATTTTTATTAAAACTACTTTTGTATGTGTTTATTAAGTTATTATTACTTTTATAAATTATACATTTTACTTACATAAAAATCTTTGTTTTTCAAAAGTTATTTGGCCAATCAAGGGAAACCGTTTACTTAAAGTTAAAAACTATTTAAATTATTAGGAGGTTTCTTGATATTCTAAAAAAAAATAAGAACTTGAACTAACCAATTTGTTTTACAGATAATGTAGAGAGCTTAAATATGTATGAAGGTAATTATTATTCATGTTGTACTATAATATTCCTCCATTTTCGAAGACCAAAAGTTGTCATCTAATTTGTTTAATACATATATTATAATTCGAGTAGTAAATTCTTGAATACGATTAAATTGTTCAATAAATAGATTTCAGTAAAATTTGGAAAATATTAAAATTAAAACAACTATTACGTATGTTTATTAGGTTTGTTTTTTTACGTTTTAGGCTAAATAGCCAGACAAAATGTCGAATACTTAGAATGGTACAATTTCAATTCTATAAAGATGTACGAGTTCTTTGGTAACTTGCTAGAATATGTAGAAAAGAGATTTTTGATTTTTTTGTTTAAAAATTGAGTTTTAATATTGAAAAAATGGCAATTTTAATTTATTTAATTACAAGAAACTCAATTTTTTAAATGAAAATCGGCTTCTTACACAACAGCAAAGTAGTTAAAGAACTTTGTAATTAAAACTAATTTTTTGTTTGTTCAAAAAGTTATAATAACTTTTCCTATACCTATTTATAATTTTATTTACAAGATAATATTTATTTTTCAGAGATATTTGGTCAACATGGTAAAATTTTTTCTTTAAAGTTTAAAATGGTTTTAATTGTTGGGGATGTTTCTCGATATTCTAGAAAAAAATGATAACATATATTTAAAAAAAAAAAATGTATTATTATTTATCTGTATATCTGATTT